TTTATTTAAAAACATAATATAATTAAGCTACAATTCGCAAAAAGCCGTGCCTGGATACTTTCTTCAGGGGAGTGTATGTCATAGAGATCGATAAAGTTCAAGGCAAAAAGTTTTTGATAGAATTCCATTTGCCAATGGATCAATTTTCCTTTACGGATAAGTGACCAATATGTGTCTAAGTTGGCATTAAAGTCTCCTAGAATTATAGTTCTGAAGTCAGACTTAAGACCTTCCTTGATGTGGGTAATAATTTTTTTGTGTAATTTCAATTGTTCTTTCTTGATTCGCATTTCAGTAGAAGCGTGTAAATAAATACAAAAGATTCTAAGCTTAACGTTACCAGCTAGGTAAAGGTTAATGTAGATGAACCTATCATGATTTAAAAATGTCTTTTGAACATAAACTGCTCAAGATTTTTTGATTAGGATGCTAACACCGGCATGAGTGTTGATGTTGTTACTCCAGTAAGAAGTATAATTTGGGTCAGCTGAATTGCAAAAAGTTTGATTAGCTTTGTGTCTGGTTTTTGTAAGGCCAACAAAATCAGTATTGAAATCTGAGAAAGAGTCGTTGATAAATTGATTTTTGATCAAACATTGAAGAGAATTAACATTGTGTGTAGCAAAAGTAATAGTGGTGGCAGGTGAAGACGTAACATCTGGTTGGAATAAAAATATGGGTATATCGTTATCAGTATTAATAAGATTGTTATTATTATTATCAATCATGATTAGAGATAAGGGTTAAGGGTGAGAGAATTATTGTGTATTCTTGTTGGCAAGAAGGGTAATTTGAGCCATTGCCTCTTTTAGTTGTTTATGAAAATCTCTGATGATAGCATTTTGTTCATCCATATATTCTTGAAGTTTGAGGTTGACAGGTTTAGTAGTAGAAGTGTTTTCATTGGATGATGAGTTGGCAATACAAGTGCGTTTTTTGATTGAAATTTAAGACTAAATCGTGTGAAGTGGATTTATGGGGGATGTTAGAAGTAGAAAGAATCAAGGTAGAGTCTGGATTGAATTCATGCTTTTCTAATTTTGAGATGCGTGCTTCCAATTCGGACATATATTTTTGCATCTTTGTTAACATATTAAGGATTTTGTCAAGTTTTTTGTTTGTTTCGTCTGATGCAGTATTTTGAGGATTGTGAATGGAATCATCGATTGTTTGTGATCCTTTTTCTTTGTTGATGATTGATTTTGGAAGAGTAGGAATTTGTTGGTTTATCCTCTTTTGGGTGGTATTTTTGATGATAAGTGAGTGAGATCCAACAGGTTTGAAGCGATTGTAGAGTTGTTAAACAGAAGGTAATTTAGATCTAGGGGTCTGGATTCATCAATGTCGTCTATTGATTTTTTTTGTTCTAGAATTATAGGGTATTTCATGACTATGTGGTCAGCTGCGTCACATTTGTGGTAGCATTTAGAGTCAGCTGCGTACTATTGTAATTCATTATTACCAAAAGCGTAATCATTGGTGATGGCTTTCTTTAAGTCCTCAGCTGATTCAAAATAAAGAATGGCGATTGGTCTAGGTTTATAGTTATTCGAACGGGAATATAGCAAGATTTTGCTTTGACGGCAAGCATAATATCTTGGAGGTCACGGGCAGAAGTTCCAAAGGGAAGGTTGGTTAGTTTAACCCTGTATTCATTCCTTTCTTTGACTTGTTCTGGTGAAAAGCATGCAGGGTAAATGTGAACACAATCATTGTAAATATACCTAGACCATGTTGTGTAAAACAATTTGATTGCATCTGGATTGTCATAGGTGATATATGCATATTGCTATAGGTTTCTGGTCTGCATGCGAATATTTGTGATAGTACCATATTTGGAGAAGATTGAGGTGATTGTATCTTTTTTTAGGTTGAGGTGAATGTCAGTAATACGCAAAGTTCTGTTTTAGAATTGTGTGTTATCCTTATGCTCAGTATAATCCACAAATTTATCAATACCTAAATCAGGAAGTTGGACAGTGAGCGCAGCTTGCATGGATTCTGCATTATCGAAGTAAATAACTGCAGAATGCACAAAATTTATACAGCGTACATTCAGCCCTCTGAATGCATCATTATGTGCAAACACATTGTTGATCGTACAGATGATTTGAGGGGTAGGGAGTTCCTTAGTATTTTTGCTAATAGAGGCAGCGCAAGCAAAAGGAGAAGGGTGAGAAATAACGATAAAATCAGAGATTTCAATCTCCATATTCGTATCGTCTTCTATAGGAACAAATTCTTGGGTGTCGAGAACATTAGGAGGTGAGGTGGTTTGTCTAACATAAGTATCTTCAATAATATCCTTATCACTAACCAAGGATGGGTTGGGCTTTTTTCTGAGACGAGAAAAACCGCTAGCCTCAGGTTGTTTAGCTTTGAGCGAATCGTAACGACCTTTGTTGGTTTTGTTAATGGAAGTTTTTGCTGATTTTCTAACCATTTTATAAATTTTTCGAATAAAAATAAACTCTTTCAAATATTTTAAACTGTTTTATAAAAGTAAGCTAAAGAACTAGCTAATAGAGTTGTAAAGTTTTAAATAAAGTTTTAAGCAAAACAATTTTATTTTCTTAGTAAATTTCTAAAATTTTTAGAAATTCGAGGTGAAAGGAGAAAATTAATCTATAATGTTTTGAATTTGAGTATTGTTTAATCTAGAAATATCACTTGCGCTATAAGTGATTAATCTAATTCTATTGATTCTAACCCCTTTTTCTCCAAATAGCATAAGAATATTTTTAGCTCTATATGTTCAGATTCGCAAATTACCCAGAGTGATATTAGGTAAATACTGCAACATTTCTTTGTATATCATCAATCTTGCTGTCTTATCTTTAGTCTTGCCATCAGCTGTAATATTTTTTACTTTTTCTTCGAACTCAAAGGAATAATAATACAAGCATAAGATTTCTTTTAGACACATTTTCATAGTCTCATCAATCCAATAAGCTAATTTCTGCGTAGAGCTCTCAATTGCGTTATTTAAGATGGACTCATCATGTAATATAACTGATCTCACTAAAGAAATAGGCCTAGAAAGTTTATGCTTCAAAGTTTGTTCAGTGACTTGATTTCTATCAAGTGGTTGTGTAACAATTAGTCTAAACATTTCATCAGATGGAGCATCCTCGCTATTAATACAAGTGATCATTTTTGTGTCGCATAATAGATTGTCCTCAATGGATGATGGAACAGAGATGTTATCACCTGTGCTAAGTGATAATTTCGAATAGACTTAATTTTTAGCTGATTCACTCAATAATTTCTTTTTCTATTCCTCTGCCTAATATCATTGCTAATACTTTTCTTGTATTTTTCATTCAAGAAAGCATCTGTCTCCTTATCTTTCAAGGATTTCTGATCACATTGATCTATAACAGATATTAATAGCTGATACAGTTATCTCTGTTAACTCCTCTGGTATTAGTTCTTCAGGTAATGAAGTATCCATTTTCTCATCTACTAACGGTTTCTCATATTACGTTACCATTGGCTCTGTAACCAAATTAAAGTTAAATGAATTGTTGTTAGAAGAATTATGTGAAGCACCTCTCAGCTTATTTTGAGTCTGCTTCTGTTTCACTTTTGTGAGTCTATCTTTAAACTCAACATTCTCAGCCTTGAGTTTAGCATTTTCAGCATCACGCCTCTTGTTATATTCCTTATTCGCTCTTAGAAACTCATTATTCCTACGCTTAAATTCAGCTATTTCAGCATCAGTCACTGAGAGCTTGTTTCTAAGATAAGAGATCTCAGTATTCTCCTTTCTAAGCTCTACATTCTCAGCCTCAAGTTCAGTGATACGCTGTTTCAATAATTCAAGCTCGGATGTCATGATCTATATGTATAACTAATACACTGTATATAAGTATTCAAAATAAAAAAATATCATGTGATTTTCTGAAATCGCACGGTCTCGCAAATTTGTCAAGAAAAAATTTTTATTATTATATGAAGAATAAATACAAATGTTCAGAACGTAGCTCGCGATATATAGTATCTATGCTATTATTTTTTAATAATTTTTTCGATTCTGACCCTCTTGCTAGTTGGGAACTACTAACACTAACCTTATTTTTTAGTAGCCCAACAATTATACCTATTACCCTTTTCACATTGCTTCAAAGTAATTCAGGATTTTTTTTAATTGCAGATTTCGTGAGATTAATCTGGTATTCACTACCACTTGTATAGTAAATACCGTCTGGAGTATATATAATAAAAGGCCACTCAACCCCTGTGGTCACAATACCATAAAGATAGTTAAAATAATCTTCATTAAATGCTTGATCTGTGGTTCATTTTTTCTTATTTGTTTAGAACGCATTTTCAAGTTACGCCAGATTCTAAGAGATAAAATACATCATCCTTTGTCTGAATGCTTTCAGCTAGAATTTTTCTCATTAAAAACAATATACTAGGAGGATAAGCAGACTTACTTGAGCATATTTAATTTTAATATTACGTGGTTTTCCTTCAGTGATACAGAGGAACTCTTCCAGACTTTTGATTGTGTAATCCATTTGGCCTATCGTATCTTTACCAGAAATATCTTTTTGCAAAACTAGAGTTTCTTGGCGATGGCAATTGATGCTGTCAGCGTTAAAAATTTGCTCTAGAAAAATGATTTACAAAATCATTAGATTTAATTTTATGTAGATCATATTAAGAAAGATCTTGATCGACGTATTGCATTGAAAAATTATTTAATTTGAAGGATTTACAAAATTCACCTGATTCGCTTGTTTCTTTTGTATTTTCTAAACAGTCTGTTTAATCTGTTTACTTATTTCATTTATAATTTCTTTAACATTTATAATTTACTTTTATTATTTTTATTATTTTTATTATTTTATTATATTTTAGTATATTTTATTGAGACATATATCTATATTTAGTTAATTTATAGCGTAGCAAGTAGCTAGCCATAGCAAAGTCATTTTGTATAAATAGAATAGCTTTTTGCTTAAGTTGTAAATTAACTCTTTTGCAAGTTTATTAAACTCCTTTGCAAGTTTATTAACTCAGTTGTAAGCTTATAAACTCTTTTGCGAGTTTCAAGTTATAAATAAAGGAATCAATTTAAATCTACACAAACTACTTTTCCCTTTAACGTTGTCCTTCACCTAGGATTGTTGTGATACACTACACTAACTTGCTATTGAGTTCGTCATTACGAGTTCGACTAACATATCTTAAGTTCTAAGACGTGATAAATTGCTGAGTTGATTCAAGTATAACAGATACCTGTAGGACTTAAAGAAAATCCTAAGGTCGGAAACTCCAATGTGTAGAATCAACTGCCATAGCCTTTCAACTTAGACATTAAGATAAACGAAAATGAACCCGATGACAATGCATGTAATATAGCTGAAATAAATTTATAGCACGTTGCCTCATTAGCATTGGTCATGATCTCTACATTTGAAAATTTTAAGATAATGTCCTCCATATAGTGTTTGAATGCTTTATCATTATCACTAATCTTCTCGAAGACTACAGAGAAAAATAAAGTTAATATAGCTATCTAGTCAGCTTCGAAAAATAATTAATTACTTATCAGGAGTAAACTGCTTAATATTTGTTATATCCTCCCCATTGACTTTATTTCTACGTAACATTTCCTTCAGGTCATCAAGAGTTTTGAGTGAGGAATAATTTCGTAACTTCTGGCTAAGTCCTTTGATGAAGTTTATAAGTCTTATTGCTGGGCCTCTTTTCATGCTATAGCATTCAAGTTTTTCTTTAGTTAACTTAAGAAAATCAAGTTCAGCAATTTCTTTCTTTCGTAAAATTTTAAAGTGAGGCTTCTTAAGCTTCAAATCTTTCTTTTTCAAATATTCAATAAGCTCTTCTGTATCGAAATCCTTAATCACATTCGATATTATTTTGGTAGAAATTTCTTCCGTTATTGAGGCGGGTGAAGCAGGTGAAGAAGCTTGTGAAGACATGGTATTTATATATGTATGTTTATGCTTGTGAAAAATATGCACTTGACTGCAATTACAGGTAAAGCTAGTTTATGAATATAAAAGTATTTTTGGTTCTAGTGTAAAGCACTCAAGTAGAAATGATAGATTTTCTTTTATATTGATTTATAATGCATTTACCCAATATATATGCAATTAAGATGTAGTACAGGATTGTTAAGCGATTATATTACATCATTGCACATAACATTTTACAAGATTTATAACAAGAACATAATATATGCTTTATTTAAGAAATAAAAAAAATATTGTCAGAGCAACTAATATATATAAAATTGCAAATAAATCGCTACATATGACTGTGAATTATTAATAGGAATATATAATGATATGGAAGAATTCTGCACTAGGTTGTTCTTTATAATATTTAGAAATTAGATCTGCAAAATTCATTTTCTTTTCTTGAACACTCCCAGGATGAATTTGATAAAGGCTTAAAGGAATATCTTCTAACTCCAATCTGGCTCTAATTGCATTTACAAGATCACTGACATGTTGATCTGTACTAATTGTAATTGTTTGATATATCGCATTATATTGAACATCATTAAAATCACCCACCGGAACGATAAGGCAATTGAGAGAAATATTGGCTATATTTCATTTTCTGAAATACAAGACTCATAGTGAGAAGTTTCTTTCAGCTTAGTGCTCGCTCCCATACATATATAATTTAAGGCATATACATACCTTAATTATTTTTGCGAAAAGTTGGCTGAACTTTCACATACCCCTACATGCTTTATATCTTGCTAAGAAAAGAATGCTAAGCTAAAGTTAAGGAGATATAAGGTATGATTAATATTGTCATCTGATGTCAAGAGCTCTTTGAAAGTACATGCAAATGGAATCTTCTTACCTTTCACATGTAGATCTACTGGAGAGATACATAGTTGGTCTTATGTCCAATGATCTCAAAATTGTGAGTCTCTCAGCCTTTCATAACATATGTTTCTGTCATCACTATTTACTTTTAGAGCTAGTTCTGTATTGTGTGTACACTTTCTTTTACATTTTCTTACATTTATTTGGGAAAAAATAAAGAACAAAAGTTAATATATTTTTTGAGTATATATATACGAAAATAAATATATCACACAAGACCTGACTGATGATCTTACTTATTTTTTATTACACAATCTCTAGCTCAGCAAATTCTTCTGAGCTAGTGATCATCGCTCTAGTTGATGATTAGTATTTCAGACACAAATTTGAATATATGCTAGCTAGAGATAAACACAATCATGACAAGCAATACTAATATTAGTTCTGATAAAAGCGAAGCTCAATTATATGAAGTGCTTTTATATAAGAAGAAAGATATAATAGCTATTCAGAAAAACTAGGTATGGTGGTCTCAGAGGGACCATCTATTAATGACAATACAAATCAAACAGCATTGATTCAATGCAAGAAAGAAAAAACACTTAAAGATTCATTTGGGCTGTGTTTGATTTGGTGAAGAAATTAAAACTAATATAGGAAAAAATCAATATCTGTGGTCACCCCATCCTTACAATATTACATCAAAATATGCAAGATCTTATGAATGTAACATTTGGAGAAATGTCACTTGGGGAAATTTATCATTTACTTTTATATTTGGAACAGGATATAAGCACAATTCAAGATCTTCTTGATATTAATGGTTATACTAATTGAGAAATAAGTAAAATAGAAGCTGATAAAAATGCAATAGGATATTTTTATATATCTAAATTTAACCCTGGAAAACAGTCCCGTAATTTCTGAAGAGCACTTCTCAAGAATTGCACAATATTTTCATAAAAAATTCAGCTGGTACAGATTAATGCACATATCTAGTATAAGTTAGTTAATCTATATTTTTTTGTCATACAGGAGTGACCTAACCAATTCTTTCAAGCCAATGGTCACCGCTCTAGATTAGTTAAATCGGTAGAGTTCCACCATTTTGCTTGATCATCAAGTAATGCTACCAAATAATCTCTTGGTGCTTATCTGATTATAGTTATAGTGAAGTGATCGGCACCAGAGTCCATTGTCATAGATATATTAGAATTAAGTTGCTGGTATAATTGAGATAGAACTGAATTTAGATTATTATCAACACTATACCAGATGTTATATATCCATCTTTTCACTTAATCTATCACAGCTCGATGCATTTCCATAAAATAGA